GAAAATCTCCTTTATCAGCATAAAATACCATTAAGAAGTTATGTAATAATATAAGATGGAGAACAACAAGAAGAAGACTTATATTCATTTAAAGTAACCTGAAAAGTTGGGAAAAATAGTTTAGCCCTGAGAAGTTGCTGCTAATATAATTATTCATGATATAAATATGATTAGATGAGTGCATTTAAAGAGAAGAGTGGGAATATGCTTACAGACTGCCTAAGTATCTGGCAGCAGGAAAATGTGATGAAAATACTAGGAAAGAATAAATAAAGCTTGGTGGCCTGACCTCTGTCCTCAGATCAATGTGATTATTCCTACCTGGGGTGCCAGTTAATCAATGTCTCAATCATTCTTTACCTCTCTTGTTAAAAAAAAGCCATGAGGCTACTGTCTGATACTACTGCCATGACCATGCAGTGTCCATTAAGGGGAAGTGGAGAGAACAGGAGCAGGAAATGAAAGTATTCAGAGTTTATTAATTTATTTCAGATACTGGGGACAAATATATTCATTAAAATAATGGTTTTAGAGAAAAACATCTCTATGACTTTGCTGTAAGGATTTCAAATAGGAAACAAATGTCCTATCTAAAAAAAAATTTTTTTTGACTTAATAAAATTTAAAAAGTCTGTTTGTTAGAAAACACCATTAAAAGAGTAAACAAGCAACTTGTAAAGTAGGAGAACACATTGCCTATCTATTTAAGAGAAGTTATATCCTGAACAGTAGGGAAAAGACAGATACCTAATGAAAAATGGGCAACAGATTTGAACAAGTATTTGAGGGGATATTCAAATGGTAAATAAATGCATTAAAGTACAACAGAAGGTGCTTATTTCATTAATCATGAAATGCATATTAAACCACAATGAGATACCTCTACAGAACTACTAGAAGACTAAAAAAGATGCAAAATGTCAAGTATATAAGAGATATGGAGCGATGCCGTGAGAGTGCAAACTCTTACTATCACTTTGGAAAACTGCTGGGCAGTGTACACCAAAACCGAACATATGCATACCCTATGACCCAGCAATTCTACTCCTAGAAATATACATGTATGATTAGCAAAAGACATACAGTAGAATATTCACAGCAGCACTGTTTGAAATAGTTCCAACCTAGAAACTACCCAGGTACCCATCAACAGAATGAATGTGTGTATACATATACATACACACACACATAATAAAATATTTTTTAAAAAACTGTGGTGTATTCACACAATGGAATATGAAACAGATGATAGAGTAATAAAGACCTATTCACAACAATATGGATTTATCTTGCGAACATAGTGCAAAACAAATTAAGCCAGTCACAGAAGAATACATAACTGCATGATTCCATTTATATGGAATCCCAAAAGAGATTAATCAATGTTTGTAAGTCAGAAAGGGTAACTTTTGGGGAGGCCAAGTAGTGACTAAAAGGAAGCATACAAGGGCTTATTGTTTCTATGTTCTGTTTCTTCATCTGGGTACTAGTTACACATGGACAGTATGGAAATTTACCAAACTATGTCTTTGATATATGCACTTACATAATATTTATTCAATAAAAAGTAAACTATAGGTAATGTAAGCAGAGAGATGGAAGCTTTAAGAATCATAAGGAAATGTTAGAAAACAAACATACCATAACAGAAATGAAAAATGCCTTTGATGGGCTTGTCAACAGATTGGGCATAATTTGTGGGATTGAAGAAATGTTAATAGAAACTTCTACAATTAAAATTCAAGGAGGAAATAAAAGCATGAAAAGACAAAAGAACTGTGGAACAATTATAAAAGGTGTAGTATATACAAAATGGGAACACCATAAGGACAAGAAACAAAAATAGGAACAGAATAGTTGAAGCAAGAATGGCTGAGAATCTCCCCAAATTAATGATAGAAATCCAAGCATAGACCCATGAAACTCAAGAGAACACCAAGCGTGAAAAACACCAAAAAAAAAAAAAATTCAAGTAGGCATATAATATTTAAACGGCACAAAATTAAAAACAAAGAAAAAGATCTTAAAAGAAGCTAGATCAGAACAACAATAAAAACCCCTCACCTATAGAAAAATAAGGATAAGAATCACATAGAATCTCTTCAAAAATTATGGAAGATTAGTGGAGTGAAATATTTAAAGTGTTGAAAGAATCACCAACCTAGAATTTTGTACCCTGCAAAGCCATTCTTGAAAAGTGAAAGAAAAATAAATACTTTCTCTGACAAACAAAACTTGAGGGAATTTTTCACCAGGACACCTGCCTTACAAGAAACATTAAGAGAAGTTCTTTAGGGAAAAGGAAAATGGTACAGGTCAGAAACTTGGACCTATGTTAAGAAAGAAAGAGTTTTTAAAAAGCAATAAATGAAAGAAAATAAGTACCAGTTTGTTCAAAATAATAATAGCAATGTAGAGACTGCAGCTTATAGATAAATGAAATGAATGTTATAAGGGCTGGCAGGAGGGAATTGGAAATACTTTGTTATAAGGTACTTGCAGCATTATTTGAAAGTGGACTCAGATTAGTTATAAATGTGTATTACAAACTCTAGAGTAACCACTAAAAAGAGCGGGCAAAAAAAAGGAGTATTTACATACCAAGAGAAGAGAAAAAGTGGAATCATAAAAAATACTCAATTAAAACCAAAAGGCTGAAAATCATGATCTATAAAAGAAGAAGAAAATCAATAAGCTGGACTTGATTAAAATTAAAAACTTCTGCTCTAAGAAAGATGCTGTGAAGAGATTAAAAAGACAAGGTACAAATTAGGAGAAAAATCTTTGCAAAACACATATCAGATAAAGGACTGGTATCCAAAACACACAAAGAACTCTTAAAACTCAACAGTAAGGAAACACACAACTTTGTTAAAAATGGGCAAAAGATCTTAATATATTTGCACCAAAAAATATGACAGGTATCAAGCATATGAGAAGATGCTCAATATCATGTCATTAGGGAAATACAAATTAAAGCAATGAGACATCGCTAAGCAACTATGAGAATGTACCAAATCCAAAACATTGACAACACCAAATGCTAGCAACTCAATGAGAGCAACTCTCATTTACTGCTCATAGGAATGCAAAACGGTACAGCGACTTTGGAAGGCAGTCTAGCAATATCTTACAGAACTAAATACACGCTTAACATACAATCTAGCAATCACACTCTTTGGTATTTACCCAAATGAGTTGAAAACTTACATCCACACAAAAACCTGTACATAAATGTTTACAGGAAGTTTTATTTCCAATTGCCAAAATGTGGAAGCAATCAAAGCATCCTTCAATAAGTGATGGATAAACTGTGGTACTTCCATACAAGGGAATATTATTCAGAGATGAAAAAAGATATTGAGCCACAATACACATGAAGGAAACTTAAGCACATATTGCTAAGCGAAAGCCAAGTTGGAAAGGCTACCTATTGTATGATTCCAATTATATGACATTCTGGAAAAGGCAAAATTATGGAGACAATTAAAAAAAAAAAAGAGTGGCTGCTAAGGGTTCATCAAGAGGAAGGTAGGGGGGACAAGAGATGCACAGAGGATTTTTAGAGCAGTGAAACTATTATTTTCAATGATACTGTAATTGTGGATACATTCATTATACATTTGTCAAAACCCACAGAAGGGACAACACAGAGGGAACCCTAATGTAAACTATAGACTTTAGTTAACAATAATCTATTGATATTAACTTACCAATTTAAAAAAATGTTATCACTCTAATGCAAGATGTTAAAAACAGAGGAAACTGGAGTGGGACAGTGGGTGAGGGGACATAAGGGAATTCTGTACCTTTTGCTCAATATTTTTAAATATTTAAAACTGCTCCCTCCAAAAACAAAGTCTGTTAACTAAAAAAAGTAAACTATAAACAGTTTCTTATATCAGTGTAACTACCTGACTAGTTTTTTCTGAGATAGTGTGAATAATAAGGAAAAATCAAACAGAAATGCTTTAGGTTAAGTTACAGGTGAATTTTTGAGTCTCATGACTTTGAAGAAGTTTTAAATGGCACTATAGTAAATTTTCATAATAAAATGCTAAAAAATAGCACTACATTGTTTGAATATGGTTAATGTTGTGAGCAATAAAAACCTATTTATACTTGCAACCCACATTCTGAGAAAGAGATGAAGCTCACAGGTCTATGATGAATTAAAAGTAAGGTATTGGCCATTACATTTTTTTATTCCTTTTCTGGTCTTTGCTTCTTTAAAGAGGTTTTAAATTTTTTACTATTTATTCATTTCACTTGGACAGGCAAAGGACAGTAAGGATAAATCTAAATAATGAGACAAATTTTTTCTACTTACACAGCTCTGAAAATGACAAAGGTGACAACATTTCACGGTGGCAAGGAAGCCAGGTGAAAATGAGTTACTTCATAAAATTAGGCCACATTTTCGTTGCTAGGTAAATAATTTAAATTGTACAAAGGTAAATGTTGAGTGATAAAGTTGAAAGAGAGACCTTACTTTTGTCTAAATAAGTAGAAAACAATCAGAATACAGAGCACGTGAACAGACATGGGAAGCACATGTGTATTTCTAGAAAGTTCAGCTAACAGTTCTATAAACTGAAAAACGTGCTCAGAACCACTGCAACATACTCTGAATAGGTAGGAGCTTTATATTATTGTATGTTTCCAAAGCATGACAGATAACAAAGTTAATATAACTTTGCTGAATAAAGGAATTGATGAATATGTTTCCCCTAAGAGGGGAGAATGACATACAAACTGAAAGATAGTAAACTTGATTTAACAATGCTCCAAATCTTATTCATATCAATCCCTTCCTTCTAAAGTTTTGAGCACAAGGCATACTTCTATGGGAAAAGAGGTGTGCTGGGATGAATATAAATCTGCTAAGTTAGTTCATTGCTACTTGATACTTAGAATTGGCAAAATTTCGTGGAAGAAAGTATCAGCTAAACAGACGTTTTCCTCCCATGTTCAGTACAACTTAGAAAATAGACCTTCACCTTATGAAGTCTTCTTCCTCGTCTCTCTTTGCCCTCAGCTGTTTCGGTTGAGCCATATTAATCCAGTTTGGTAGAGATTTCAAAAGCCTGCTGATATCATCGTCTTTTGCCCAAGATGCACTGATAACAAGTTTCTCTTCAGACTGGACAATACCCCTAAACACAATCAACAGAAAAGAGACATCTCAGTAAAATGCCTGGTATCCAGTTAGCATTTTTCACTTACTTTTGCTGCAGGAAAAAGGTACTACACCCATCTCTCTTATTAACGTAACCCGTTATCTGAGTTGGAAGCATGACATCCTTACCAGGTCGCATTACTGGGAAACATAATTTCTAGACTTCATTCATAGTTTCTTTATTGTCGAGTCATTGTGAAAGCTAGTGATAATAATAATTCATCCCCCCATCAGAGTTAATCCCTTAGGACAAATAAAAGTGTATGGTACGTTTTAGGGGGGATTTTTTAAGAAAGATGTTGAACAAATAAAAAGTGGGGTAGTCATGTAGAAGAATGCTATTAAACGATGACAAAAATGGTATCTGAAAGGTGACGAAAGTGGTATAAAAGGTTGTTCTCTGACTTCTTGGTTTGAATGACCAATTAGCTGTACTTGAAGGTATTTTTTGAACTATGGACCCCTCTATTCAAAGCAAATGTACCATCACAGAGAAACCTTCTGCCCGTGATGTCAGGCAGAAGAAGTCTTTGATTATTGCTCTCTGCAGTGGACTTTGACTAGTGACCTAGAGTGACAGGCTTCAAGTCCTTGAATGGGGCCCATGCGTCAGCTATAACACTGCTCTTATCAGAATGTACCTGCAATGTTCAATTTTTCAACTTAGTCAAAAAGCTTCTCTTTCTGATCAACACTTCCATCACTGTAACTAATTTCAATGGTCTAAAATTCCTCATCAGCAATTCTAGGTGACAGAAATGATATTTATTCATGAAGGGAGTGTTAATTAGCTAGCTACTCCTCTGAAGTTGACCAAGACTCACAGAGGTCCCTCTGCTCTTCCACATCAGAGTCAGGAATTTATGTTGGTAAAGCATTATAGTGGTGAACATTATACACTTTTGTATATGCAATACATGTACACATGTGTGTTTGATAAAACCTCCTTTACCCAATAGACAATGTAGTGTTTGTAGACAAAGGAAGTTGAAGCCTAAAAACCTTAACTCATGATATCTTGACTTAAGGTAATATGATTTCATGTTGCAGGGAGCAATACTGCCCTGGTCTTCTGACAATATGCTAGAATAAATATTTCTAGAATTCTTCTCACTGTAAGTTACTAACAGTAACTATGGTCAGTGATACAAAAATTAAACTATAGACCTTCTTTCCTCAGATCTCTCAAATTACTCTCACTGCTACCTTCTAGTCCCTTTTTTCCCTTGTTACTTTCTTGCATCTTTTTCTGTGATATTTAAGGATCAGCCTCACAATCTAAGTTTTATACCTTTATACTTGGGTGCTGGGTGCAGTGTTATAGAATGGTACTGCCTCAAGCATATGATACTCCACGCCAGATGGACCCTCAATGTTCTCTGGCATTCTTTTTACAACAGATTGTCCTGATCAAGCTCCTCTTCCATTCCATCAATGGCTATTTTTTAAACCTTTGCACTCTATCTCCTCATTGCTTATCCCCCACATTCTTCCCATCTGACAGAGAAAAGAGGGAACCTAATTACATACTTTCAAAGATTCCACTTTCTGGCTCCCAAGGAAATACGTTCAAACCTCATTCACTTCAGCAATCCCTTTACGTGGCTTTTGGGGATCCTTTCTCCCTCCAATTATTTTTCCTGTATATCTAATGTCTCTCTCAATATATTCTCCAGTCCCTGTTATTTTTTCAAAAAATGAATGGATGAATGAATGAATGAATAAATGAATCTCCTCCTTCTTCAGCATTTCTCTCTGGGGAAGCTCCTCTTTCTCCTTCACAGACACTGTCATCGAATGAATGGTCTCCACTCACTGATTTCTCTTTCTCGCCTCTCATTCACTTTTTCAATTCATGAAATTACTCTCCATGATTTACTTTACGATGTAGCCCCTCTAAAGCTTTTTGAAAAATTTTCAGTTGTTGTATTTTCATCTCTAAATGTTCTATTTAGCTCTGTTACAAATCCACTGGCTTCCCCTCCAAAATGCCCTGTCCTAGTATTATAGCCCTTCCTGCATCTCTTTGAAATATATTAAAAGCAGCAATTTTAAAGTTCCTTTTATGTGATTCTATATTATTTGGAAGTTCTTTGGATGTCAAGTGTCCTGTTGGTTGCAATTTCCTTCTTTTATTGAGATGGTGAGTTTTCTAATGTGGGCAGCTCTACCTCAGTGGGACTTGTCCTCTGCAGGAATCCCACATTTGCCCTGAGTTTTGGAGATGTCACATAGGTGGTTTGCATCAGCCTATTCTGCATCCTGTCTATGGGTTTCACTAGTTCTAAGTAAGCTTTGAGTTTTTTTTTTTTCCTTTTCTTGCTGTAAAACATTCTCTCCCAACATGGGTAGTGCAAATTGAGGTCCCTACTTACATATACATGTATGGGATTCTGATTTCTTTTAGGGGTCACCTTTTCTACTCTAAATTGGGTGGCTCATTCCCAAGCCCAGAGTTTTCTCAGTCCCATTCATGGGCGGAAAATCCCCTTAGATAATCTCTGCACAAATGAAAGCCCCTGCCATGCAGGTGTTAAAATGCTAACCCCTAATTGGGTCTTGACCTCTAGTATGGTTTCAATGTTTGTACTCCCCCAAAATTCACATGTTGGAATCCTACCACCGATGTGATAGTGTTAGGAGGTGGGGGTTTTAGGAACTGATTAGATTATAAGGATGGAGCCCTTATAAATGGGATTGGTGCCCTTATGAAAGAGACCCCACAGAGTTCTCTAGAGCCTTCTGCCACAGTGACAATACAATGAGAAATCTGTGACCTGGGAGAGGGCATCACCTAACCCTTCTAGCACCATGTTCCTGGACTTCCAGACTCTAGAATTGTAAGAAATGTCTTATAAGCTACCAAATAGTCTGTGGTATCTTCTTATAGCAGCTCAAAAGGACTAAGACACCCTCTAAATGTGGTCCTCATACCTTGGCAGGCCACTGAACTTCAACCTTTGCTTGTTGTATACCTTTTACTTTCTCTTTCATTGGAGGAATCTGGAGAATTCTCTTTCTTCCTTTTGAATTTGGCTACACATTTAAAATACATTTTTAAAAATCATATAGTTTTATTTGGACTTTCTATGTGTTAGCTTTGGAAAAGGGCTTCCTAAATGTATCCACTCCACACTTTTTTTTTTTTTTGGTCTCATTTTATTTTACTTCTGTTTAACAAAAGCAACAACAAGCAGTTCATTATCCTTTCTGGTCTCTTAGAAATCAGTATATGGGCAAGAAGAGAGAAGTATGTATCTTCTACCTCATGCCACCAAAACACACTGGAATTGCTAGAACATTCATTTTTGGGAAATCATACTAAAAGTTTCTTTTTAGTTATTATTATTTTGTCTTTATTTCTTCTGCCATCCATTTGACAAATCTCCACTCCACACATTTGACTGAAGTCCAAATTCAGTCTTAAATCAACTGCAGTCAAAGTTCTAGAACCACCATTCCTGTGAAACTGCTCCCCGAACCTGTGGGTGTATTTTATTCTTCACGTTCTTTGATTATGCTAAAGCATCTGATTTTTGATTACTCCCTCCTTGAAATATTACTCCTTTGGTTTCCACAATGTCACCTTCTCCTGGATTAACTCCTGCTACCCTAACTTCTTTCTTAGCCAAACTGATGCTTTTTTCCTCTCTCCATATTTTAAATATTGATGTTTCAAAGCATTCTGCATTTCTCACTTGGGCAGCCTCATCTTCTACTCAGACCTGACCAACCTATACTCCAAATAATTCTAAATTAATATCTTCAAGGCTGCCCTCTAAGTCTTGGACCTACATATCCAAAGGTTTACTGGAGAATTCTTCTTGAAAATCCTAGTAGTATTTCAAATTAAGACGAGTCAAAAGAAGCTCATTTATTATCCACGTCTCCCTCTCCCACTAAACATCTAGTATTCCTTACTTTGGTCAACGGTTCAACCATTCATCCTATTACTGAAGTCAGGAACTCTCAGCAATCCTAAACACCCACAGTCACCACATCCTGTCAATTCCACCTCCTTAGTACCTTATAAATCTGTTGTTTTCCTGTTCAGGTTCACTGCCATTAACCTATATTTAGAACTTTATCATTTCTCAGTTGGACTTGGAGGCAACCTTGTAACTGGGCACCTTGCCTAAATCTTCAAGACTATCGGTCCAATTTACCACACTAATCGGAAGAGTTGTTTTTCTTAAATTGTAAAAACACAGTCATGTTATTCTTCTTAGAACTCTTCACTGACTCCTAATCCTAAGAGCGAGTCCAAACACAGCAAGGCATGAAGATACCTTTTTGGCTTCATCTCCTGCTATTTTTTCACTCTTTCGTTCACTAATCCCAAGTCAAACCCCTGCTGTGTTGGCTGACCACCCTATAAATAAGGAGTATTTCAGAGTTTTTTGAATGGGATACGCTGTTCACTACTTCTGTGTATTCTCTCTGCCTAGAAAGTCTTTTTCTTACATCTTCCTGTTTGCCTCTACTGATTAAGCGTTACTTCCACTCTTCCCTTGGGACGGCTGAGTTCTCTCTGTTGTGCCTCATCACCCCTGTACCAGAGATTTTCACCCTTGATTGCCCATTAGGTACAATAAAATAAAATTAAATAAAAACTCACCTGGGAACTTTTAAAAAAACTAGATGCCTGGGCCTACGTAAGCCAGAATCTCTGGGGGTGGGACCGAGGCATCAGAATTTTCAAAAGCTTCCTGGATGATTCCACTGCGCGCTCAGTGGGAAGAACCACTGCCTTGCGCTCGCCGCTACTGTAACCGCTCCTACTACACTTCTTCACAAGCTGGGATCCCCTTGCTGGACAATGAGTTCTCTGAGGGTAAGAGTTGATTTCTCATTAGTTGCCGTGTCCCCAGTGCCTAGCACAACACCAAGTACCTGGAAAGTGTGTAAGAACTGAACTAGAGATAAAGATAAGCCCTCTTCAGTTTCAGGAGTCTAGATAACATTACACTAAAACCA